CGCCAAATGTGCACAGCTATGGGTTGGGTTTTGTGTGAATGACTGACGTTGATGTTGCCATGTGTTTTAGACGGAGCATCCGCAGCAGCAGCTTTCGCAGGCTTGGAAAAAAATGGTCTCCACGCAGCGAAAACGCGCCGTGGTCGCGTGCTTCCGCATGGTGCCGTTGTACGGAGTGCCAAGGTAGGCGATATCTCGATGTGCACCGTGTCAGCTTGTGAATGTCACGTGCACGTCTCGTTCTGCATGTCAAGGTTCCACTAAGAACTGAGCTTGAACACTGACAGTTCTAAAATGGAAGTATAAACATCTCTTGAAATAACCCGCTGGGTTACGAAAACCCTGTGTTCAGATAACTAAGAACTTTCAGAACAGGTCCAGGAACGTAAGAACCCATCTATCGATGCTCCAGTAGTACAACGAACTCGGTGTTGACGATGATCGATTAGCTGAAAGCTCGTTGACTAGCACGGCGCTCTCACATAAAGAAAGCCCCTTACATGATTTCCTAGCATAACTACATAAATTGAATATTTTGCCATTGGTAGATGACAAGTCGCTTGGAAAAAGAGGATAAATGGAAGAAAGTGCTGACACTACAGCGTAAGAGAATGGCCATTTCATTGATCACTGCTTCTCACCTTTACAAAGTCGAAAGGTAAGTGATAAAACAACTTAACAACTGCTAACAAGCGAATATACCCCTACGTTCATTCTACATTCTCAGAAAAGTCTCCACCACTACGCAGGTAAGGAAGTTGGAATACCAACTATAGATCCAAAAGCAGAAATAACCCAAGTTTCTGTAATTTAATTTATGTAATTTATAGTAGTGTAATTTAAGGGTAGTAAGCGCGATGATTTGAGGGTGGACGGTTTTGATGACATTATCAGGATCGCTGTTGGGCCATACTTACACCGAGCTGAGGGCGTGGTTGAAACCACCTTCTAATTCTTACCACCGCTCACGCGTAATGACGTCACTGAAATCGCTCCGCTTTTTAACCGTCATGCCGTAAAGGTTTTAAACCTATTTCACCGCAAAGGTCGTGTGAACGCTTTCCTCCGGTCTGTAGTATAGAACCCTAGAGGACAATCACAAATGTGGCACTCCCATGCACGGAAACCAACCGACAAGAACGCTTGAGCTTTCCAAAGTGAGCTACTGCAGCTGCATTTTTTTTCTTGCCATTTATTAGACTGTGGTCTAGCGACCTCTAATTTGTAGCGCTTCTTCGCCTCGCACTCTCCTCTCCAAGCTTATGATTAGTTCTCATTGCCTTACAAGGAAGGTCGTTTCAGGGTGTGCCAAGCTTTTTCAAAACGGTCTTTTGCATGATATAGGGGCACATGCGGGAACCACAGAACCATGGTTAATTTTTCCTGAACGGCCCTCTGAATACCAGAAAAGGGGGTCCCTAGTCACACCTTTTTCACCAGTTTTTCAATCAAAGTCTATTTGTAAGGGTTACTGACGGTCCTAATCATGATTATACGGTGGTACTAATTATTCATGCTAACTCCATTTTGCGCGAATTTTGAAACGTCAACTCGAAATGCAAAAATTTGTCACCACGAGGAATCGAACTAGGGACCCCTTTTCTGGTATTCAGAGGGCCGTTCAGGAAAAATGAACCATGCTTCTGTGGTCCCCATATGTGCCCCAATGTCATGCAAGAAACCATTTTGAAAAAGCTTGGCACACCCTGAACGACCTCCCTTGTTGGCACAGCCGACAACGACAGTGAGTATCCCTGAACCTGAGCGCGGATGAATTCTTTTCCTTTTCTCTTTACTGCCGGCCCGTTTCGTGCCAGTACGTTCACATTCGTGTGCAAGAACCACACCATTTTCCTGGGGCATGCCTTTAAGGTAGATCGTCTTTCAGTTTTTTTTATTACCAATAAAAAAACTATCGTGGATAGTGATAGTAGGAATCACGTCTGCCTAGTGCACATCTTTAAAAACAATTTTTTAATCTGCATGAGAGCCTTGGATTAAATCTCACTGCATGCTTCGGATTCCCGAATGAATTAAACGTAACCCTGAAGGGGTCATGTTTATTGTTTATTTGTTTAATTTCTGAAAAGGGATCGTACGTGGAGTTGTTGAAAGGGCGGCGTTGATAGCGAATGTACGGTGAAGTGGGGGGAGGGGGACGGGAGGAGGAAGTGCAGAATTTGCTATTACAAGAGCTGTATGCATATAACTGATGAGGACTCCTGCAAGACATTTTCTGGTTCTGAAGATCGAAGCATCACCTGTATCACCTGTCGTCCCGTTGATCGTCGATTTGCTCGAGCGGGCGCCAGCAACGTCTCCATTCGTCCCTGTCGCGTGCTAGAGTGGTCCAGTGGATCCTCCTCGCTCGAGGGACACGAAGTCCTTCATTCCTTTCGTTCAGAGCTTTCGTGAAGAAGTCTGACCATCGGGCCGGCGGTCGTCCATTTCATTATGACGAATTTCTTTCCGCGGCAGTCGAATGTCGTCAGCAAAGAACGTTGCAATCTGCGCAGTAACAGAAGCTGAGGCCGCGTGTAAGTCAACGGTCCTTATTTCGATAGATTCGGTACTTTACATAGCGCACTTTACAAGTAGGAAGCGCATCACCAAGATAAAGATAATACATCCGGATACCAGATGAGCGATCGAGAGTATCAGTTTTCCAAGACATGTGGAGAGCAATAAATGAAGTTGTTGCATTAATATGTAGTTAGGATTGCAGAAAAGCCCACCCGCGAACGCAGCTTCGTACTATGTGCGCTGCGTCCATGCTGCCCGAGTCGACCTTGACTGTGCTGCAATACGTCCGTCAAAATACAAAAAGCGCGTGCTTTAGGTTTCGTAGGAATGCCGTACACATCAGGATTACATTACGAAACCTCCGCAGTGCATTTGGTATCAGCACTAATAAGCATGTGACAATTTAGTACCACATGTTGATTCTTGGTTCATCAGATTTAATCAGCTGTTTGTGGGAGAAATAAATTTTTCAGACATCGTGGTATAAACTTCTTTTTGCCGGCGTTCTCCGTCCTATGGTTAGCGGAAGAAGACGTGGGCCAAGATAAACTGATCGCGGATCTAGTAGTACGTTTTTAAGCTCTTTGTAGTCTAAGTGGTCCATTTCTGGACCGTGCAGCACTCTCCCTATGGAGTGAAAACGATTTCATTGATTTTGTACTTTTCCACTCTAAATTCTGAATCTGGAGCCGTAATTTGTAAGTATTTATATATTAAAAAATTGGTCTAGGATGAAAAACATTAAGAAATAGATTTTGAGCCCGGTATTTTTAAGCATACATACCCGAGTGGCGGCATAGTGTTTCAACGACTCTCCAATTGTTTAACAACAATCTAAACTATTCCAGGTGTCAGGATTATTAGAATGTCGAGCAGAACCGGCCTTGTTGGATGGGGCTTTTTTCGTTTTGAACGGGCGTTTACAACAGCATTGTACGTTGCCATATGTCACCCTTTTCAGAGCGGGTTTGTTCCGAAGAGGACATTCCTCTCACTCAGAAATGTGTCCAGGACGGCGTACTTGTTCCGGAATCCGAAAGTCGCGATAGCGAGTGAGTCTCAGTATTCTTATTCCTTGAATATTTTTGCATTTTCCACATGAAAGCGTGCCCTCACCAGCTTTATTTATTTATTTATTTATTTTTTATTTCCATTATAAACTATAGATATGTGGATATGTTTATATATTTTTCCATCTAAAACTATAGATAATGTGATAAGTTTATTTATATTTTTTATTTACATACACATCATGGTATTTGTAGTTCATATCTGGGTTGTTTTTATATATTTTCTTGCCTTCTCCTCGAGCTCTTTTCACTTATCAGCAATCGCCCAAGTGAAACTTCTCGCAAAACACTTGGGCTACAGAAGCCCAGCCTGGGTAAGGTGCTATAGCGGAAGTGGTGCATCATTTGATGCCATGGTGGCTTCCGTTGCTCCACCTTTCGACCACTAATCTATAGTCTATGGATAAAATTTTCATGAACTTCTTTCAGAGCCTGTTAGCGTCGGTACGAGAAAGACAGAGGAAGATACAGATGCCAACTTGCTTTCTTTCATTTGCAGCCTCGCCATCCGCATTCTCCAACCTGAGAAAAAATCGCATTCCTTTGTAGCTTCACTTCCATCTTTTTCAAAAAAAACCGCCACAATTAAAAAAAAACGAGTGACTCATATGCGTATTATTTCACATAACCGCTCCTCCCCACCTACAAAAATGGAGAGTGAACGCGTGAAATCCAATTGATACTGAAAAAGAGTTCTTCATTTCAGGTCTCCTCCGGATCCACTGAAACAGCTGATTCGCTGTTTCCAACGTGCCGCCACCAGTGAGGAGAGCCAAGCAGCACCAATTCATGACGATAATCTGTAAGGGATCAATTTCATGCAGATTTGATTTTCTCATTAGTTATTCAACATCGGCATAGGATTTGGTTTTCTCAATCGCATGGAAGAATCGTGGAAAAAAGCTAATTTTGAAAACCCTCGAATCGACTTTACTATTTTTAGTTATATTCGTTTCGCCGACGTGATGTCGCAATCCATTCACATCGAGGAGGAAGATGGTGACGACGGCGACGATGCGGAAATCGACCAAGCGGTAACACCAGTTTGATTACTTAATCCTTTGACTCTTCTGGTGAAAAGATGTAACCTGTAATGACGAAATATAGAGCTGGAAGCTAGACGTCTGTGATGCTGATGTGAAAAATCCCAAGTCATATTTCTCGTACTTCTTGAAGTTAGGATGTCATATCTGTGAACAAATTCACAAGTGATTTCAGCAAAAAGAAGAGCAGTCGCAAGCGCTCCGCGCTGAACAAGGTGTACTGGCGGATCGAGGCGCAGCGATCATGTGTCTCATGTACTTGTCAGCAAGCAATGGAGAACCCAACGATATGGTCGCCCGAACCCTCGAACTCGGTATCCATCTGCTCTCCGGCGGAAACGTTGACATTCAGAGGGTGAGCCCATTTGTTGTTATTCGCTTGTGGCTTTACAATTTTATAGTTGATGTATCCTCGAAGGATTATAAGCAATAAATAACAGCCAACAAAGTCAAGATGTGACAACAAATTGGGTACCCGACAGGAGGCCCGTCGCGCGGCAAGAAGGCAGAGTCAGCGGACGAGTCGCAGCGCGTACTGTAGTGATTTCGCGTCAAGTTAAATAGAATGTACGTCCTACATCGCACATCACGCGCTGCGACTCGTCTGACTCTGCCTTCTTGCCGCGCGACGGGCCTCCTGGGGGTACCCCAACAAATTGGTAGTTCAGCACTATTAACCTCTAAACAAAGCGACTTCACAATAGCTGACAGCTTAGGGCCAATTGTGCTTCTGCAGGACCTGAATTTCCGCATCATCTAAAGCTGCTTACTCACTACTGAGTCGGGTAACTGGTGCGAAGCTCATTTATAGACCGTTATACGATTACTTCAAAGCCGCAACAGCTGCTTTAAAGGAATCTTCCGCGGAAAAAGCTCCGCCTCCATTACCACAGAAAAACGATACCCCTTAGGCCCCTAGCCTCATGAGCATAGCAAAAAGAACGGAACATAAGCGTTAGTTTCGATAATACTAATCCTACACACAAGACAAAATGATCACTCTTTCCGTGGAAGATTCCTTTAAGGTATCGTTTTCTGTGGTAATGAGGGCGGAGCTTTTTCCGTGGAAGATTCCTTTAGAATTCCCACATTTTGAAGCAGTGGACAGTAAAATATTTTTTTTTGCGCTACTATTTCCTTATGAAGTTCGAATGCATGCCGCATATCGAGACCGTCGATTCAATCGAGCTCTTTATCCTTCACGTTCAAAAAATATCCAAGAAATCATGAAGCCTATGAAATCGTGAACTATAGATTGTTATGGTCTTTGCAGCACTCATTAACTAGCTTCAGATGCTGATCGAATACCTTCAACTGAAAAGGGATGTGCGCTTCTTCACTTCAATGGCCGGTCTTATGAGCAAATGTTCGGTGCTGAATCTGGAGATGTTCGAGCGCCAAATCAAGGTTTGATAACGGCTTTTGTGATTATAAACCTGCGACCAACACCAGCGCCAACAACCCATAACTACTTACTTCCTCCTCTGATTCTGAAGTTGTTTCCTGTCGAAGCCTCGGCATTTTTTGCTGACATATCTATTTGTTCATGAAAAAAAATGCCTGGATTAGCTGCGCTAGCAATCACACCTCCCCCCATAATAGTACAGTAACACAGTTCTGTGTACCAGTGCATCTTCTGAAAAAGAAAAGAAAGGCTCAAAAGTGAGGCCAGGCACGAAAGGATCTTACTTTACAACTTCAAATTAGCTCTATTACATGTTCTTTTTCTGATCACTCCTCCTTGTGAACGCTTTTGACTTGACTTCCTCTTTGTAGGTGCCTCTCTTAGTTTAGATTTCTCTCCGAGGAATGAGTGTTGTGAAATATAGCTCGTATCATACTACTACAAACGATTTACCGTTCCAGGCTGAAGGTCTTGGCATGGGAGCGGAACTGGCCTCTGGTGGTAATCAGAATCTGAACGACGCCGATTTCACCTGTTCGTTGTTCCGATTCTGCAAACTCACTTGTGAGGGCCACAACTTAGGCGAGTTTTCCGCATTATTTCGACATCTTGTTACCCCCTTCTGCGTCAAAAAGAAATTCTTGTTGTATTTCTAAGTAGCGTCTTAACCTGGTTTTTATAGACTTCCAAAACTACCTTCGAACACAACCAGGTCACACAACAAGTGTGAATCTTATCAACAGTACGGTAGATTATCTCCTCCGCCTTCAAGAATCGGTTATGGACTCTACCTGCCACTATCAGCAGGTCGTACAATATCAATTTGATCAGTTTCAATTTAGCTCCACCAGGGGCAGCCTGTTGACTGTGCCCCTACCTAAAAGCCGTTCCGCTTCTCCTTGTTAGTAGGAATACTAGCAAACTCCTTTTCAAGAAAACTTTATCAGCGGTTTTTTCCAAAGAAGGCATGTGCCTATGTGTTGTGTTTTAATGGATACTCAATTTAGGAAGTAATTGACGAAGGAGGAAAAGAATACTTCCTACGAGCGATTCAAGTATGCAGTCAGGTGTTCAACACGCTCACTGAAAGCATTCAGGTTACTTTTGACCCCAATTCTCCAGTTATCAATTAATCGCAACACCCCCAGCAGAAGTCGTGTCGAAGAATCTATTCAGTGGGTTGAATAGAATAGCCTTCGAGTAGCTCAAAGATGCCGCTATTGTGGCTCGAAACTGCGCTACAATGACACCAGGGTCTAATAGAATCAGATTTGGCGTTGGACGAGTTACTTCTCGCAAACCCCATGACACCGCCACGTGAATTACGGCATAGCGGCTAATACAAATACGTCCGGGTTAAATGAGTTGTGGAGCAGGCAAGTTCAAAAGTCGCCTGTAGCCCCCTTCTTTGAGGGAAATTTTGGCGCTGGCCTTCATCGACGGTTTTATTTGCTTCTTTTCTCATTTTTAGTCAATTCGGCATCCACAGCTTCATCATAAATCGGCTGTGGCCCTACATATTCGCTCTGAGAGTGTTGCTTTAAACGAACAATTTCAAGTCAGAATCCACCCATAAAATCGCTTTATTTTGAAGGGAAAATGTCAAATAGAATCGTCTAGAGATGTAGTGCTCTCAATAGCGCGTCATCGCCTTTCGTTTTGACTGTACATATTCTTCTTTTACATCTACATCCAGGGTGAAAAAGCGAACTACTCACTAGCGCCCCAAATTTAGATTACTTCAGCCTTACAGCTCGGGCTTTAGAGCCTATTACTTTCGAAATAAGACCATGTGCTTCAGGGGCCATGCGTTGGCAATCAGATGACATTGGCGAACTCACGTCTCTGGGACGCTATCAACGGTTTCTTCTTCCTGTTCGCCCATATGATGGAGAAGTTGTACAAAGAACTCCACCCAACTCGAATTGTTGCGAGAGTTCTTAAATCTCCAAAAGGATATGATTGTTCTGATGCTCTCCATGCTTGAAGGTATAACAATACATATTTCATTTGAGTTCTGAATTTCTCAAAAAGGAATATGCTCTCTCAGGAAACGTTCTCAATGGGCCGATCGGAAAACAAATGGTTGACGCGTTGGTCGAATCACAACCGTCTGTCGAGAAGATTCTCAAATTCTCAGACATGTTCCTGAAGCTGAAAGACCTGACAACGTCGCAAGCATTCCAGGTATTCTTTCGCCTATCCCAAGAAGAAAAATTGAGAAACTATGTTTCGACAGTTATTGGAACCATTTCGTGCCGATTCCTGGCGCCCATATGGCGATCATTGCTATGCTTTGGTTGCGATGGGAACTATCTGAGTAACTGTTCCTTCCACGCAAATAGGTCACGCTCACTCTATGATTCGGCTCTCTGTGAGAAGAGACATGGTGTTGAACTCTGCAAGTTAGATTCCGCATTATCCCAGTTTAGCTGCATCCTTACTTTACGACTGCCCCTTCTTCTTAGCTTACTTTCGATTACCCTAAAATCCCATAGATAAGAGCGGTCCATAGATATTTTTTCAAAAATAAAATAAAAATAAAAATGCCGAGGTTACAAGAGGAGAGTAAGCGGTCATAATAACTTCGAAAAATAAAATTTTTTCAAAATCATTTTTTACCGGTAAATTAAACCGCTCTTATCTATGGAATTTTACTGATCGAATGGGCTCTTCAAGTTCTATCCAGAGATCAAATTCCGGCATTTCTAGAGAGATTCCGGCAGAAATTCCGTTAAAATCGCTATTTTTCTATATGAATTGTTTATTAAGTGGGCGGGGTTTAGAGTTGAGGGGCGGAGCTTCTTCTAAACTTCTTCTCCGATTTTTATTTATCCATCCATCAAGTTAGAGGGGTGACTGCATTCAATTTCAATTTCATTCCAATTCATTTTTCACCGGTAAATTAAACCGCTCTTATCTATGGGATTTTAGGGTATTAGCTTACAGCCGCTATCATGCGGCTTGAATCCCAGTTTTATATTTATTACATGAGGAAATACTCAAGAAGGCCTTTAATTTTGAATATCTTATCGAATAGTTAGGACTATTAAGTAATTTTATTGAGAATTGCTCCCTTGCAGGACTTCGACACAAATCGAGATGGATGGATCAGTCCAAAAGAATTCCAGCGTGCCATGGAAAGTCAGAAGATGTACACAGTGTGAGTTCACGGAATTACAAGTACACAAAATTTGCTTTCGAGTAGCTTTTGGCGGTACTGAGACAATTAGCCTTTCAAACGCAATGCCTGAAGGTTACGCGTTTAATAATAACTGCCAAAATGTTACTCCCATCTCCATAGCCCAGGGATAACAAATACGATGAGGCGAGACAACTTCCTCCATTCATTGTCAAACGAGAAATCAGTGTTTACCACAGACATACGTCAGGAGAGGTTGAAAATAAGCGGTGCCTAGCGCTCTTTAGTGTATGAGGGGCATCGTAACTAGCATTTGTGGGCGAACTCATTTCTTATCACGCAACTCTGAAA